CAGCAAGTGCTGGTTTATCCGCAAAAAACAGCTAAGTCTCTGGCACGCTTGAGTGATTAATTGTCTTCTCCCCCTCCCCGTCTCTTTAAATCACAGTTCGGTTTGTTTACGTCTGGGATTCCTCCCGACGCCGCTGAGGGTGGGGGGGGGATCGGAACTCACTTTTAAAGCTTCTTCGCTCGTCTCATTCTCCAGTTCCTTGACAGTCTGATCACAGACTCCTTTTAATCATGCTTCATTCGCTGACCCGCTTGCTTGTCCCGATCGGCATTCAGCTATGCTCGGTAAAAACCGAGCCTCTCAGGGGGTGGACCGAATGGGGCAGGGAGGAGCGCCTCAATTCCCCGGCTTCAAGCCGTGGAAGAGGTCGCCCCTCAAGCGCCCCCGGCTTGGAGCCTCACGCTGAGGCTCACCTGGGGGTGCCACTTGAGGTGACACCCCTCCAACACCCCTGGAGCGCGGAATGCCTCCCCCGTTCAGGAGAGAGCCTCCGCCATCGCTGAAGCCATAGACCCTATAACATTGTGATTCTTTATTATACTTCAAAATGTGTAAACACTGATGAATTTAAAAAATGATGAGATGAGGCCTTGGGCAAAAGTCACAATTCAAATATGAAAGAAAGAATCCAAGGTTAATTAAAGAACTTGGTAGTTTAAAAAATCTGAAGCAATTTGTAGCTAAAACAGTATATTATAGACAGCCAATACAACTCATTCATATATAGAATCCCCTGAGTGTAATAAAAACTGATAGCAACAAGCATCAAGTAGAATGAATTCTCAAAAGTTTATTACTGTCATGTTTTAATATCTCTACATCATAAAACAGTTATCAAATAAACAATTCTGCTGTATTTTAAATAAGACGGTTAATACAAAGTTCAGACTTCTGTTACAAGCTTTCTGCATGGTGAACATTCTCGAGATACATGCATGATTACTTCATTAAACACATGTTTTTACTTGTATAAAAGGTGATTTTCCAGAGTGTAATGTACTTGCCCAATCAAGACTTTGTATTAACCTCTTCGGCAAAAATCCTGTGCTTATTATTTTAGTGTTTCAAAAGTATTTCTTTAAATTAACTTTCCACCCTTGATTTACATTGCAGTTGAACACCAAAGTTAAGCAAATTTTAAAGCTAGACTATTTTAATACTTTGTCTGAAATATGTAATAGAACAGACTTTTAGATGTAATCTGCAATGTGTTTTGTCAAAGAGCTAAATTAACACTATAAACCTAAGCAATGTTCCTCCATTAATTACAGCAAACTTAGAAGGGTATATTTCTCCCTAGGATAGATTCAGGTGGGTAGCCATGCTTGTCTGAAGCAATGGGACACAGTTTGAGTCCAGTGGCACTTTTAAGACCAAGAAAGTTTAATTCTGAGTATAAGTTTCCATGTGCATGCATGCTTCTTCAGATATCAAACAAAAGCTTATACCCAGAATTAAACTTTGTTGGTCTTAAAGGTGCCGCTGGACTCAAACTTTGTTCTCCCTAGGATGGCACTGTAAAAGTAAATTCAAATGTAAATTTTTTTTTGACATCATAAAAACAAAGTGGGCTCTTAAGTACTTGTGTTCTCTCATACCCAAAAGACAATTTCCAACAACAGCCAAATCAGCAGCGCTCCTATCCCACTTGGAGCTTGAAGAACAGAGCCCAACAATTGTTTATGCATTTTTACACCTTTATGGCTAGGCAGACCTACAATCGTCAACCTACTTGCCATTTTTTAACAATATAGTTATTATGTATTGAGATCAAGGCAGCGTTTCAAACAAGTGATTTCTTTATTAGCTCAGAACAGGACAAAACAACACACAGAACAACCCAACTATATACAGTTTGAACCAGGAAAACCACACCTCCTGGAACAATAATGTCCAATCAATGATGGGTGCTTAGACCCAATGGGAATTGTTCCAGCCGAAATCAGAGTCTTTCCGGATTGGTCTGTTTAGCAACAGCGACCAATCTGGTTGCTTAGTTTAGGATGCTGGCAGTCTAAGGAGCTTGTGGCCAAAGCTCATGCTCTACAAGTACATAACAGTAGTGTACAAGATGTTTGTGTATCTAATCTCAGTAATAACTACAACAACCCTGTAAGGTAGGTAAACATTAATAGAGCTGGTTTTGCTTAAAGAACCTAATGAATTTGGTAGAAAAGAGCAAGACTCCAGTAGCACCTTAAAGAAGGAAATATGTGGCAGGGCTCACTCTGAGGAACTGAGCAGTGACTCACGGAAGCTCATGCCCTGCCACATATTTTCTTAGTCTTTAAGGTGCTACTGGAGTCTTGCTCTTTCTGCTGCTACAGACAAACTAGCACAGCTACCCATCTTAATGAATTTGAAGTGAAATTTGAATCAAGGAATTCCAGGCTCAGAACTCAAACTGTTAATCATTACACAATACCAGTTCTGCATACTTGCAGCACAGCAGGACTGAAAATGTCTTTGGAATTAGATCTTAAATATAAATTTAGATTTATCTGTTTATCAGTAGACAAATAACTCTTCGTTTTTCATTCTTACACTGTTTTTGTACTCTTCCTATAAGATATATTTTACCAAAGAATTACTCTTTTGTTATATCATATATGATACATTTCCTCTATATTGTATATTGCAGTAACAGGTTTGCTAAGAATATGTTGACATCTGTAGTTTGAAAAAAATGTTTTGTTGACAATGTTTTAAAATTACTTTTGGAATGTGTTTAAATCATTTGGGACAAATCTGTAATAGAATTAAATTTATAAACCAGATTGTAAAAAAGACCTATTGGATACTCTTGGTGGGTCTTCTATGCATATCAGTGACTTTTTCCTGTAATACTTACCCTAGCAAAGCCCTTTTAATGGCCACACAATATGTTACACTGTGCCCAACCTCACCTACTCTTTCTTTTCTCAAAAGACAAGGCACATCTGCCACCTGCTCTAGTCTGAGTCCCAGAAACAACTGTCGAGCTGCAAAAAGATTGATTATCAGTCAAATACTATTGCACTACACCAGATTTTGGTAGGTTAAGCTTGCTGATCCAGCAAGAGTTGGTGTGAAATTTTCAGTACTGTGTGCCAACATTTTGGTGCTAAAGGAACAGCAGTGCATATGATATGATGAAACACAGCCAAAAGATGCAGACAAAGCAGAGAAGTTTATTGTTGGGAATGATGAAGTAGAGGTGATGAAAGAAATAAATGCTTAATTAATTTGAAAATGTAGTCCAACATGACTTGGAAAAAGTAATAATGCCTTACATAAACTATTCTTATGACTATACAGAATTATTATAATATTAGGTTTAACTTAATAACTCCTAAGATATAAAATAAAGTGAATATTGATTATTGTGGTTTATTTGAAAGAACAGACAATTCACTGTTTTTATATGAACTAAGAAATGACAAAAAGATTTTTGTCTAAATTTATTTCCTTTATTGAGTTAATAGACTAAAACATATTCAATGGATCATTTGGACTACATTCAAGGAGACTGTCATATCATCTGTAATACTACACTACATGCATAATTCATGAGTTATGAGTTACTTATTGCAAATATAATTTTTGCAAAAACAGAAATAAATGTATATTATAAGATTCAGCTTGTGGAATAAATAAAATAAAATGTTTTTCTTTGTAAAATGTTTATATAATATGCCTTTTAAAAAGGTATTTATGGGCACTTTGATGTTATTAATCCCTTTTTGTATGAAACAATTACTGTTCTCAAGCATAATTCGCTCAGCTTACAATAACATTTCTTTACTACAGAGTCTTCCAACATTTTCCTCTGAGCCACCAATATTCAATGCACAAGCATTTGGGCACAATTTTATTTGGCAGTGACAACATCCTTCAGTGTAATGCATTCATTTGTATAACATATTTAGACTGGTAGCTCAACACTTTCTATTGACGTATTAAGAAAAAAGAATGAAGAATATTTTGCTGTTTTTCACAAAAATTAAACACAATTGTAACTGCTATGGAAAAATTTAGAACAGTACTACATTTTAAAGCCATGATCCATAAAAATTTGCACATTAGCTGAAAACTTTGTTTTACTTAGGCCTCAACACAGTGCATTAACCTACGTAAAAAACTAGGCCAATACAGTATTTTAAAATGTAACATTACCTAAGATAATGAATTTTATTTGGGGGTCAGTGGTGTGATATTAAAGAGGATTCACTAACTCAATCCAGTTTTATGAATTTCATAATTTTAATATTTAACAAAAATATTTCAGTTAAAGTCTGATAGTAAATATTACACTGCAATATTTTATGACTTGGTTATGGAAGCCACACACAACTTTGTACCAACATGCACTGTTGTCAAAATCAAAATCTTTTTTTAAAAAAATACTTGAAAATAGCAGCAGCATAAAATTTTAAACTCTAGTCTTGTAATCTGAAAACATATACAATCAATTAGTGATAAGAGACAGTAAATTCAGATATTATGTTGAAAAAAGCTTTAACTGTCATAATTTAACATTAGAAGAGGTGCACATATAAATTTATGTGCAACTTCAGAGTGAATATTTTATATTGTTGTATGAACAGTCTGATAATTATTTTAATGGTATGTCTTAATAAAGGTCATATGCCTAAATTAATAAAGCACTCAAACTCTGAACTATTATTTTTGCTAGTGTAATAAGCCTAATGAATTGTGTCTGCTAGATGTCAGTGAAACTAACAGTAAATTCAATAATCTCTGATTTAATTTATTATATTTTCACCATTTAACCTCCTGCAGGCTCCCTAATGTCTATTCAGATCTATATTAAATTAAGCACCAATGCTAATGAAGGGCAATAAACGTGGCTGTCAGTAGATTTTTCTTTCATTAAGCACATTATCTTCTTACTGAGCTGTAAATGAGTAAACATTAGTTTTGTTAAACCATGCAAAAAGACAGGATGAAAATCATTTTTAATTGCACCCCTTAAGCCACTGACTGTGGCATTTTTTTACCTTTAATTTTTTTGAATGGATTTGAAAAGGGCTCTCCTGTTGAAATATAAACGTCAGCATCATGGGGAATGTCTATGGCATCCAGTACTTCAGTGCCGTCTGCCAGGAAGACTCGTCGTGCAGCCATATTCAGCTTCAGCTTTTCGGTACATTCCTCCAGCAGCTAAATGAATACAAAAAGGTAAGGAAAAAGGGATTTAAAATTTACTCCAGTAAATCATTTAGTCAAGAATCAAATCTTTAAAATCCAGGTCTTATATATTTACCCATATGCAGTATTTAGGCATCCAATTGCTAACTATTTTCAAGCAATGTTATCATTTGAGAACATGATGAAACAGTAACTCTCATAATTAAGATCCATATTTCTATATAATTTAATCTTGCTGTTTTCTGGATTTCATAAATTGAAAATTTGGCCCTGTGTCTGTATATTTTTGTAGCCATTGTTTTACATGGACAGAGTTTAAGGGGGAAAGATAATTACCATATACATGCATAATTTTGAAGTGTTTCATTTATTGTGAGAATCATGTTGAATATTTGTAGATACAAAAAAATTATATTAATACTTACCAGTTTAATGGAAGGTGCCACTGCAACTTTAGCAAATACACTTAGTGTACCATTCTTAAAAGCAGTTACTCTGAGTATCCAAGGCTGCCGCTTAAAAAGGTGGAGCACTTCAGAGGCCTTCCGAGCCAAGTGAAATTTTGAGCAAGGAAACTGTAAACATCTGTTGCAAAATAATTCCAGTTTAATTCAATTAAACCGTTATTAGTGCTTTTCATTTTAGACAGTGTCCCTCAAATATCATTTATCTCATAATTTCTGCAATTTAAAATTAAAAAGTACTTTTTGCTAAATTTATGGGAAAATGCAACCAACAAAGTAAATTTGTTAATATTATTTACAGTGCCACCCTAAGCAGAGTTATTCCTTTCAAAGTTCATCGACTTCAATGGACTTAGAACAGTAACTTCCTTTATAATAGCAGTGAGTTATATCTTTTCCTTTAAAGAGCCAGTAACACATATTAGAGAATTAAATAAACTTTTAAAATAACTACATGCATTTTACAGCTAAAAATGATAATTTCCTTGTAATTTTGGATTCCTCATGTCCTTATGTTTTTTATATGCTTAGAAGTTCCTGTGCTCTTCCTATCCATATTTATTGGAAATTCATTTTACTGTGTTCAGTTAGGCTTACTTTAAAGTATGTGTGCACAGATTTGCTGCCTTAGTCCCACTGAAATAGAAGTTTACTATTACCCTAATCTTCATAGACATGCACTGGAAATGGCATAACAGGTCATTTATTGGTAAACTAAATAAATGTAACACATGATAATGTACACATGGTTTACATGATTTTTCATACACACAAGAAATCCTCACAGCCTCCCCCCCCACACACACACACATTTAAAGCTGCCCTGTGAATGGAGGAATCATAAATCTTAATAAATGTTGAGCTGTCTTGTACTATAAGTTTAAGGCTGTCATTTGAATCGTCATTACTGATCCAGTTGAAAGGGGATAGAGCACAAGCAGTCATAGTTAAAAGCAACATGGAACAGCTTTGATTACCTTAGCTGACCTGGCGGAGCACTGACAGGTCTGTTTCTCTTGGATGATGATATAAGATAGAAATTGTTTGTTCTATTTGATTTGTTGCTGACTAGTTCTGATATTCTATAACTGCTCTGAACTGATTTTATTTGATGTGTGGGACCATCTTGAAGTCCTGACCTTCCTGATACTACTGATGATTGCAGGTGACTCTTAGGGCCATGTAGAAGCTCTCTTTCCTTCTCTTCAGTATTTTTATCTATTTTCTTTGTACAAGGGAGCATGCCTTTTCTGCAAAGAAAAAAAAGACAGGATGGTCTTTCAGTAGGATTAAATAACCACATAAAACTAAAGGAATGTGGGAAAGTCTGTCATGCGCAAATGCTTGTGAACAAGGTAATTAAAATGAGAGGGTAATTTCAAAGGAGAAAAATAAATGGAGTATTAAGAAACTGACACAATAAATAAAATTTCAGATTTTAAAAAAGTTAAGTCAAAGAGCAAAGAAGCATCCACTGTATACTTGAGTTGTTTTTAAATGAATACATCTTATTGCAATCAACACACACACACACACACATATATATATGTCAGTTAAAGGAAAATAAGGAGGAGGAAAATAAGCTTGTTGGAGCCCTTGCTCAGTATCCACTCTATAATCAACTTTTTATGAGCCCAGAAAGCATCACAATTTTTTGACAGAGTGACACAACAAAACCAAAAATTTCTCATGCATATATATTTTCATGTACACATAGAGGCCCAACAAAGACTCCTCTCATAAATAGGGATCTCAGTCTCCAAGTAGGACCTGTGGATCCCCCAGAATTACAGCTCATCTCCAGACTGCGTAGATCAGTTCCCTTGGAGAAAATGGATGCTTTGGAGGGTGGACTCTATGGCACTGTACACCGCTGAGGTCCCTGTCCTCCCCAGGCTCCACCCCCAAATCTCCAGGAGTTTCCCAACCTGGAGCTGGCAACGCCTACCCTGCCACCCCCACCGGCGGCCAGAGAGAACTTGGCAACCCTCCTCATGAAGCATTTATGCCCTCAACATTACACACAAGAAAACTATCCAAGTATTGAGATGATCTATAGGTTTAGATATGCAACATTTTGGAACTGTATTACATTAGATAACAATGACTGGATAAAACACAGTGGACCATAACAGAAAGACAATCTGCTAAAAGCATGATTTCATAATCCTATGCCATTTATGTAAATGTTAAGATTTGTTAAATGTTGGTTTCCCTTGTACATTTAATTTAAAATGATTACACAAAATCAGAATTAAAATTTAGTTCTTTCTATGGTTGCAAAAAAAACAATTTACTTAAAGGTGTAAACCAACTGACAAAACACTTTTAGTTTAGCCAGTAATTAACGACCACAATAAACATGTCCCTGACTCGAGACCTTAAGCCACATGAGTTGATCATTAAACGAAAGGAAAGGAATAAACATGTTGAATTTCCCCCCACAAATATTCCCAAGGTTAAGCAGGCAGCAAAGGATTTCTGCGATATATAGATTTTAATTTATAGGCAGCAGGAAGAAATATGGGCCATTGGTATATGCAGCAGTTTATGCAAACATGGAGGAAAGGCTGGATTGTGTGACAAAAGACTGGGAGAGAACAAGACAGAAACACTGGTTGGAAGTAATCTTGGTAGAGGAGTTAAATGAAAATAGTGGGAGGTGTGTTTGTCCTCTTGCTTGACATGGGAGAAAACCAGAAAAACTAAACTACAGAATTATAGGACTCAAGTACATTAAGATAATAACAGCCTCATGAACTCAAAAGGGATTGTTATATCCCTAACACATCAAACAGGCATGGTCATGTAATTCAGATAATGATGACACTATTAAACGTATTGGCTTGGAGCACAATGCTACCACCTACCCCTCTCCTGCAGTAGTTGCAAATGCTCCCTGAAATCCTGCTCTTGAGGGAGAGGGAGCTCCAGGAACAGGATATGGGGCAGCATTTCAGGCTGTCACGGGCGGGTGAGGCAGGACAATTGCATTCTGTCAGAGGAAATCCTTGCACCCATGGAAACCTTAGTCTGGGTCCAGCTCAATGTCCACATATGAACATGAAGTTTTTTAATGAGATCATTGTTCCATCACATTGTTCCACCACAGTATTCTGACTAGCAGTAGCTGTCCAGGGTCTCAGGAACAGAAAGATCTTTCTAATACTTGCTAGTTGAGATCCTTTTAACATAGATATCAGGAATTGAACCTGAGATCTCCTGCATGCACAGGCATGTTCTGCCATGAACCATGTCCTCTCCCCAGGTATTCACTGGCCTGTTGAACAAAAACCAAGCTGAGCTCTGAGAAGCAGCAGGAGACAGAGCTGCTACGGGGTGAGTGTTTTTTATTTGCTTTCAGCTGAGGTGATTTAGCTGAGGGTACTGTCTGTGGGGACTGTGTATAGGAGTATGTGGGAGAGTTGTGAGTTGTTGCAGAGTCCTGGATGCTTGAGATAGGGTGAGAAAGGGTCATTGTTTGACTGTAATTGAGTGCCTGGGTGAATTTGAATAGCTGCTGGCCATGCCCTCTGCTGGGGGAGGCTTCTATTTAAGGCAGCACCTCACCAGAGGCACGAGCTGAAGGGTGAGAGCCAAAGGGCTCTTGGTCTTGAGACTCTGTTAGAAGCCCAGGAAGAGCCAGAAAGCCAAAACCCTAGTCTCCTTGGGTTCCCAGTAAGGTAAGTAGACTTCTACAAGAAGAACCACATAAATACAAATGGTTTTAAAAGGAGGGTTATATATAATTATGTTTTAAAAAACAATTATGAAGCCAGAATGCCAGCAGGGGGTTGGGGGCTATCCAGTGCTTTGCACAGAGTGTCACATGTATGACTATCTGCCAACTGGACAGAAGTCTTGGGTGTGTGCCCGGTTCAAGGAGCTACTGGTTCTCAGGGAACGAGTTTGCTCCCTTGAAGCCAAGGTGGCTGACCTGGAGAAGCAGAGACAGTCAGTTAGGCGCATGGAGAAGACTCTTGGGGACTTGTTAGATATGTCCTACTCTGAATATGGCAGCCCCGCCGCTGCCAGGGAGCATGTGGGTCGAGAGGAAACAGGGCACCGTGCTGTGTATAAGGGGAATGTGCCCTCAGAAGGAACCTCTTCTTCAGCTGGTGAACAGGTATCCTTTTGCACCAAGGAACCATCCCTTGGCAGGGAGGGAGGGGGGCTCCTGGTAGTTGGTGATTTGATCCTTAGGCAGGTAGACAGCTGGGTGGCGAACCCGGGTACTGATAGTATGGTGATTTGCCTGCCTGGTGCAAAGGTAGCAGACATTACACGTGTTCTAGGTAGGTTGGTAGATAGTGTTGGGAGGAGCCAGTGGTACATGTTGGCACCAACGATGTGGGGAAATGCAGTTATGAGGTCCTGGAGGAAAAATTTAAGCTGCTAGGCAGGAAACCCAAGGCCAGGACCTCCAAGGTACTTCTCAGAAGTCCTACCTGTTCCACGTGCAGGGCCGGAGAGACAGGCACAGATCAGGAGTCTCAATGTGTGGATGAGATAATGGTGTAGGGAGGAGGGGTTCAAGTTTGTTAGGCACTGGGATGCTTTTTGGATCAAGAGGGAGCTGTACAAAAGAGACAGTCTCCACTTGTCCCGAGAAGGAACTAGGTTGCTGGCGCTTAAAATCAAAAAGGTGGCAAAGCAGTTTTTAAACTAAATCTTGGGGGAAAGCCAACAGGAGACTAAAAGTCTCTGGTTCGAGATGGCTCGTCTCAAAGAGATGAAGGGGTAGCTGTTACTTTTCTACAAGGAAATGGATTAGAACTGTCCACTGAGACTGTGGCAAACGATATGGACTGCCTGGCAAGGTCTCGAGGTAGCAAGAGGAAGCTTGTGGGCTTAACATGCATGGGAACTATAGATGTTTATATACAAATGCTAGAAGTGTCCGAGGTAAAATCGGGGATTTGGAATACATGGTGTTGGGGGGAAAATAGACATTGTGGGTATTTCAGAAACTTGGTTGGATGAGGAAAATCAATGGGATACAGTGATTCCTGGTTATAAATTATATCATAAGATAGGGGGGAAGGGTTGGAGGTGGCGTGGCTCTGTATGTCAGAGAGGGTATACAGTCCAGTAATACTGAGAGGGTAAGAGAATTGGGTTTACTTCTGGAAATGCTATGGGTTGAAATAGTGGGTCCAAAAGGAAGTTTAACACTGGGATTTTGTTATCGCCCACCAGATCAAAAGACAGAGGAGGATTATAAAATGATGAATGAATTAAAGATAGCGGCTAGACAAAATAACTGTGTTGTAATAGGTGATTTGAACTACCCACACACTGATTGGGTCAATATGTGTTCTAGTCGGGAAAAAGAGACTGAGTTTCTAGACATTCTCAATGACTGTGCTATGGAACAGATGGTCACAGAACCTATCAGGGGAGAGGCGATTCTGGATTTGGTCCTAAGTAATGCCCAAGACCTGGTGAGAGATGTAAAAGTGATTGCACGGCTTGGGAACAGTGACCATAATGTTATTGAGTTCAACATTTGTATAAATAGGGAGTTGCCCAAAAAGGCCAACACAACCACTTCTAACTTTAAAAGGGGTAAATTCTCTGATACGAATGGACATGTGGGGAGAAAACTGAAAGGAAAAGTAGAAAGGGTCAAAAACCATTGGGGAACCTTGAAGACTATTTAAAACTACAATCCTAGAAGCTCAGAAAAAATATATACCACAGGTTAGGAAAGGCACAAATAGGTATAGAAAAAAGCCTGCATGGTTAACAAAGTAATGGAAGCTGTAAAAGGTAAGAAGGATTCCTTTAAGTGGTGGAAAGCTAGTCTCAGCGAGGTTGATAAAAGAGAACACAGGCTGTGGCAAATAAAATGCAAGTCTGTGACCAGGCAGGCAAAAAAGGAATATGAGAAGCATATTGCAAAAAACATAAAAACCAACAATAAAACTTTCTTCAAATACATTAGAAGCAAGAAATCAGCCAGGGAGGCAGTGGGGCCCTTGGATGACCAAGGGGTAAAAGGAGTACTGAAGGATGGTAAGGAAATGGCTGAGAAGCGGAATGCATTTTTTGCCTCTGTCTTCATTGTGGAAGATGAGAAGTGCTTGCCCACTCCAGAACCGCTGATTTCGGGTGGGGTGTTGAAAGACCTGAGTGAGATTGAGGTGATGAGAGAAGAGGTCTTATGACTGATAGACAACTTAAAACTGATAAATTACCGGGCCTAGATGGCATACATCTGAGAGTTCTGAAAGAACTCAA